GGGGGGCTTTTGAAGATGCCTTTCGAGCCGCTTCAAGGTGCTTCTGGTCGTCTGGCACCTTCCGTCTTGGGGGCATCCCCTCTGGGCCATCTTGGGGCCATGTCGGGACCCTTTGCGGCCGTTTTGGGGGATCTATTTGGCAATCTTCGGCCTCTTGAGCCATCTTGGGGCGCTCTTGGGGCCCTCCCGCGGGTGTCTTGAACGACCTTCGGGCTCTTTGGCGGGCTACTGAAGCCGGAGTCATAGGCGGCCAGAAGCTCGAAAAGGCAAGAACGCAACAATCAAAGAACACCCACAAAAGATCTATAGAGGCTGTCTTGAGGCTGTCTTGCGGCTGCGTTTCGCCGACTAGGAGCCGTCGTGGGCTTGTTGAAAGCGTATTGGAAGTCATTGTGGGCCGCATTTGGCGCCCTCCTGGCCGCGTGCCGGCTCGGCTCGGGCCAGCGGCATGACGTCCGCGGACTTCTTGCAAACTTCTGCTTGACTTCTGCCGAGCTTTGCCGTCCGTCCCACTGCCCGGGCCACGGGCGGATCGCGGACGGGGAATCCCCAGACCCCCCCAGGGCAACGCGCAGCGGAAACCCCTCCAGCAGCTCGGGGAACAAGTAGCGCCACCTTTTGTTCGGCGCGGCAACGCCGATCAATCTAGCCGCCCGGCGGACGCGCCGCCAGGGCAACCACAAAAACCATCACCGAGCGCATCGCTGCCTACTGCAGCGGGGTGCGCCGGGCAGCTAGCTCTGGCCGCCGGCGGCCGCACCGCCGATGGCGTCGATGCCGAAGGCGTCGATTCCGTGCCGGGGAGCAGAGTCTACGCCAGAGGTCGCGGGTCGAAGCATTTTCCCACTTCAGGTCAACATGTTTTCCCAACCATCCTGTGGTGTTGGGTCCTCGTATTGAAGAGACGTCGCCCCGCGTTCCTCCTCCTCCTTCCTCCTCCTCCCATTCCTCCCCCCTCCTCCCCCTCTCCCTGCCTGCGTTTCACCCACCCAGTACAGCGTTTCGTGGCCCCATAGGGAGCTCCACCGAAGGTCCCAGTGGCACCGCTCGCATGCGTCCGCCACCACGCAGCACAGCCCTTGCTGACCGCGTCTCACCCACCCAGTACAGCGCTTCGTGGCCCCATAGGGAGCTCCACCGAAGGTCCCAATGGCACCGCCCGCATGCGTCCGCCACCACCCAGCACAATTGCGGCATTCACAACTGCATATGGTTGGGTCCTTCGCCAGGCTAATTTTGTTTTGGAATGCGGGCCATGTTTGACCATTTCTGGTCAGCAGAAATTATGTCTGGCCCCCTAGGCGCGATCCGTGTCAAGGGCGTGCCACACTTGGCCTCTGGACGCCGGCTCACCCAGCAACCGGGGAGCGAACCAGCCAGCCAACCAACAAGTCAACCAGCGCTTCCCAGTACATGTGTTTTGCTGCCCCACACCGGGTGGCCATGAACAGATTTTTCTGACCTGGAATGACCGCGGGGCGGGGGGAAGGAGGAGCGCGACGGAATGGAATGGAATCGGCGAAGTGGGATGGAAGGGAGGACGCGGATGGATGGGAATGGCGTGGCATGGAATGGAATGGATGGGATGCGCGCGCGGGGGGGCGAGCGGGCGGGCGGTCGAATGGGCGGGCGTGGATACGTGCGGGCGGGCGCTTTGTGTTGCGTTGCGCTGCGTTGCATTGCGTTGCGTTGCGTTGCGTTGTGTCGCGTCGATTTCGCATTGCGTTGCGTCGCGTTGCATTGCATTGCATTGCGTTGCGTTGCGTTGGTTTGCGTTGTGTTGCGTTGCATTGCGTTGCATCCTGTTTCGTTGCGTTGCATTTGCAATGCGCTTGCAGTATATTGCATTGCACTAAGCTGCGGGAGGGGTGAGGGGGGGGAGGGAGAGGGGGGGGAGGAGGGGGAGGAGGGGAGTGGGAGGAGGGAGGGGTAACTCATTGCATTGCGGTGAGCAGGAAGGAGGGGAAAGGAGGAGAAGGAGAGGAGGGAAGAAGGAGGAGGGAGGAGGGAGGATGAAGGAGGGCGTGGAGGGGGGTAGGAGGAGGGAGGGAGAAAGACGAAGAGGGGAATCGCATTGTATGTTTGTTCGCCTTCCCGGCCCTCGTCGTCGTTGTCAACGTGGCAGAATGTGCTTGCTCGGCCCCTGCGGCGCTGCCATGTGACGCGTCGCATGTCATTGCATTGTGTTGCGTTGCGTTGCGTCGCTTTGTTTTGCACCCTGGTGCGTTGCAGTGCATTGCGCTGCGTTGCACTACGTTGCATGCAGCACAACGCATTGCAGTGCATTGTGGGCGAGTGGGGGAGGAGGCAGGAGGGAGGATAAGGATTGTAGACAGAATGGGACAAACGAGGAGGAGCGAGGAGGGAGGGAGGAGGAGGGAGGAGGGGAGGGGAAGGAGGGGGGAAGGGGGAGACAAGACGGAGGAGGCAGGATGGAAGAGGGAGGAGGCATGGGGGGAGGGAGAAGGGAGAGGAATACACGAACTAATTGTTGCTCGCCTCCCTTGCCCTCGTCATCGTCGTCGTCATCGTCGTCGTCGTTCTCGTCGTCGTCGTCCTCGATGTCGCCGTGGCATCGTGTGTTCTTGCTCGGCCCCCGCGGCGCTGCCACGCGACGACTAGAAAAGCAATAGTTTTGCTTTGCGCTTGCAGGCGTTGCCGCCTGGCGAATGGAGTGGCGTAGTTTTTTGTTGGCGCCTCCCGCGGCGCTGCCACGCGACAGATCGGGTGGATGGAGTACTGCTGCTTCGCACCCCCAGGCGTCGCCATGTTGCCCATGGAGTGGCTCAGTCGTTTGAGTTGGCTCCCGCGGCGCCGCCGCGTGACGAACCGTGGGAGTGATATGTTTCGGTCCCCGCCAGGTGTCGCCACGCAGCGAATCGACTGGAATCGTGTGTATTCTAGCTTCCCGCGGCGATGCCACGTGAAGAATAGAGTGGCACATTATTTGGTTTAGAGTTGCGCATTCTTTGGTTGCCCGCCCAAGCGCGACCACGTGGCGGCCACCCAACCAACTAACCAACCAACCAACCAACCCACCGACAGTCCAGCCACCAGCCAACCAACCGGCCAACCAACCATCCAGTTGCGTTGCATTGCGTTGCGCTGAGTTGCATGCGAACTGCATGTGCAGAACATCGCATTGTACTACATTGCGGGCGAGAGGGAAGGTAAGAGGGAGGAAAAGGGAGAAAGGTAGCGAGGAGGAGGGGAGGAGGAGGAGCGAAGGGGGAGGAGGGGGGAGGAGGGGAGCGGGAGGAGGAAGGAAGTGGGAGGAGGGAAGGGGGGAAGATGGAGGAGAGAGGAGGAAAATGGGGAAGAAGAAGGACGAGGAAGACAATATGCTATAATTGTTGTTCGCCTAGGGAAAAGGGCGAGGCGGACAATATATAAATGTTGGTCGCCTCCCTTACCCTCGTCATCGTCGTCGTCAGTACCGTCGTCGTCGTCGTTCTTTTCGTCGTCATCGTCGTCGCCCTCGTGGCTAGATTTTTGTGTCGCCACCCCGCGGCGCTGCCGCAGGACGACTAGACTGGGATCAAATTTCTTTGCGCCTACGTGCGTTGCCACGTGGCGAAGGGAGTGGCGCAGTATTCGTTTCGACCCCCGCGGCGTTGCCGCGTGACGAATCGAACGGAATTATGTTTATTTCCGCCCTCGTGGCGCTGCCACGTGACACTTAGTGGATGGGATACGGTTCTTTCGCTCGCCAAGGCGTTGTCACGTGGTGAATGGAGTGGGCAATATTTCTTCGTTCGGCCCCGCGGCGCTGCCACGCGACGAGGCGCACCGTCCATTGCAGTATAGTGCGCTGCAGTGTATCGCATTGCGTTGCTTCGCCTTGTGTTGCATTGCGTTGCCTGGCGTTGCTTTGCATTGTGTTGCGTTGCGTTGTATTGCATCGTTTTGCGTTGCGTTGCGTTGTATAATCATGTGCGTTTGCATGCGCATTGCGTTCCATTGCTTTGCGTGGCTTTACGTCGCTTTGCATTGCACCCTGTTGCGTTGCTTTGCGTTGCGCTGTGCTGCATTCGCCTTGCAACTGCAACGCGTTATATTGGAATCGATTGCGGGCGAAAAAGGGGGAGGAGGAGGAGGAGGAGGAGGAGGAGGAGGAGGAGGAGGAGGAGGAGGAGGAGGAGGAGGAGGAGGAGGAGGGGGGGGGGGAGGAGGAGGAGGAGGAGGGGGAGGAACAGGAGGGGAAGGACAGGGAGGGAGCAGAAGGGAGGAAGGCAAAGAGAAGAGAGGGGGAAGGAGGAGGGGTGAGGAGGAAGGGGGAGGAGGGGAAGGGGAGTGGAGGGGTGAATTGGCCAACCATTCGGGCAAGCGGGCAGCTGGCCACCCATCCACCCAACCAAGCAACCCACCACCTGCCCACCAGCCAGCCAGCTCATCAACTAACCCATCGCGCTGGAACGAAAAATGGCCCGGAAACTGGTGAGCCAACCAGCCAGCCAACCAGCAAACCAACCCACCAGCCAACCAACCACCACCCCAAACAATGAACACACCAACCGCCGCCCAACCAACGAACCAACCCCTGGAACAATTTCCCCCCCGGAATCCGGCGGGCCAACCAGCCAATCAGCCCACGAACCGACCAGTGCTCCCCGGCATATTTTAGGAGGACGCCCCACACGGCGGGCCCCAGAACAGAATGTCAGAACAAACGGAAATGGCAATCGGCAAGCCTATCAGCCAACCAGCCAACCAGTCCTTCAGTGGGATTTGTTGTGAAGACGTCCCACGCGGCGGGCCCTAGAAAGGATTGCGAACCTGGGAGAAGATCCGGGGCTTTGAAATAAAACATATTGACATGGAGGGAAAATCGTGACCCTTCTCCCTTCGCCGGCGGCGGGCCACGCGCCCAGGGGGCGAAGCGTTTGGGGGGTGGGCGGGGGAGAGGGATATGACAGCCGGGATCGCCCGCGCGAGGGGAGCGAGGGCGGAGGGAAAGATCGGCGACGAGCGGGCCGCGGCCGAGGTCGCGCCTGACGGCCTCAGAATTCGATGATCCTGCCTTCCCATTGCGGCGGCAGCACTCGGCCGGCCTGCGCGAACGGCGGCGCGCCGCAGTTGTTGCACACCACGCGGCCTGGTCGGTTCGGCTCCCCGCAGCGCCCGCACTCCCAGAGGCTCAGCGGTAAAGCGACGCTGGGCCGGCCCGCGGCCGAGGCCACCGCCGCAGGGGCCGGCGCGGCCTGCGGCGGCGCCTCCAGCGAGTCCTGCTTCCAGGGCGGGACGATGCCGAGCCTGTGGGCGTCGCCCTCGAGCCTCGCCAGCTGGTTCCTCACGACGCCGACTGAGAGCCGCTCGTCGATGGGGCAGCGAACGCCGCCGTAAGCTCTGAGGACGCTCATCGCCTCCAGGCAGTTGTCCCGTCCAGTCCAGTCCCGGTGCTTGGTCGCATAGTTGACCGCCCAGTACTCTACTTCGTCCGTTGGCCGAGCGTTGCTCACAGTGTCGCCGACGTTCGGGTCCGCCTTGCGCTCCAGAAGCGCCCGCACACAGTCCACCTTGCCGAAGCGGGCGGCGTAGTGGAGGGGCGTCTTGCCGCCGTTGTCCTGGGGGACGAAGACATACATACCGATGACCGTAGTCCACGGATATCTCACAGGAACATTCTGACAGGATTTCCAAGCAAGTCCTGCCGTGACCACGAGACATGAGTAGCGGTATGGGCATGGGTACGGGTATGGTATTAGCATGGATGTGGATATGGAAATGGGATTTGGTATGGATATCGGTATGCACGTATGTACGCGTGTATGAATATACGCATGTGTAAACGCATGCATGTACGAATTAATGAATGTATGTAAGTATGCATGTATGCAGACACGCATGTATGCATGAATGTATGTATGTATGTAAGTAGGTAGGTCTGTAATTCGGATGGATGCGTGTATGTATTTACGCAGGCATGCATGCCCATACGTGTGCATGCATGCGTATAAGCATGTATGTGTGTACGCACGCATGCGTATGGACGTACGTGTGTATATATGTACGTACGTGCGGTCATACGTGCGTACGTACGTATGTATGCCTGGTTGTGTGTGGTTGCATGCATGCATGCATATTCACATGCATGCATGCATATATGCATATATGTATGTCGGTATGTAAGTATGTAGGTATGTGATTGTGTTTATGTTTGTGTATGTGTATGTGTATGTGCATGTTTGCATGTGTGTATGTTTGTGTGTATGGATACACTAGAATCACGCGCCAGCTTCGTGTACGCTTAGGTTCTAGCCACGGCAAAGCAGCCGTATCGAAAAATATGAATGAGGACTGCACAGATGACTCGAGAGCTCCGTCGGGGTTGGTAGTGGGACCTGCGGCAATTCAATTTGGAAGCTTGGCGACGGGACTCCTTCAATGCGTATTGCGTTTCTCTGGATCCGTCCTGTAACCAGAGGAGGAGCTGAACGGTGATGAGGGGTGCCCGAGTCTGGCTCCGTAGTACGCGTCGCCTGGTCACAACCACGCTGCATCGAAGGCCACCCCTCCTCCAGGCCGCGAATCTGAGGCCAAACAACAGCGCAACGAATACCAAACAACCCCCCCCGGGCCGCATCTGCAGGCATCAATGAGGAGCTTCCTGGCCACTTCAAGCGTCTTTGGGTCGTCTTGGAGCCTCTTGGACGCATGCTGCAAATGCCGTCCTGGGGGTCTTTTTGGGGCAGGGACCCCTTGGAACATGTCTTGGGGCTGTGTGGGGGTCGTTTTGGGGGGGCTCGTGCGCCGTCTTGGGGCCCTCTTGGGGCCGCTTCGGGCCCGTCTTCGGCCGCCATGTGTCTCTCCTGGACCTTTTGGGCCGTCTTGCGCCCCTCCGGGCTCCATCTTTGGCCGTCGTGAGCCCCTCTCGGAGCCCTATGCGGCGCCTCGGGGTTCTCATGGGCCCTCTTTCGGGCTCTCTCGGGGACACTTTGGCCAATCTTGGAATCGCATGGCGGCCTCTCGGCTCGTCATGGGCGCCCTGACGAGCGGAAGTGCGAACCTGCGAAAATCATGCAACAGAGCATTGGGAAATCAATACTTATGTGGTCCCTGTCCTTCGGGCCCCTCAGGTCCGTCCGGGAGGCGCTGTGGGCCCTCTGGAGCTGTCTTTGGAGCGATTCGAGCTACCCATGGGCCCTGCTGGGCCGCTCTTGCCGCTTCATTGTGCCCCCAGGAGTTGGTCTGAGCGGCCCGGGGCCCCACAAGAGCGGGGGCAGCATTGAAGGTGTCCTGGAAGCCCCCTCCGGTTTGGCCAGCGAGCTGGCTGCGGCCACGAGGGCGCCCAAAGGGCCCCATGAGAGCCCCAAGCGGCCCCAGACACCCACCAGACACCCAGAGCGGCTTAAACGATACCCCCTATGGGGCCCTCCAAAGGGAACATATCGTTTTAGTACTCTTGCTGTTGCCCAGCTTTCGGATGCTCGGCGCTTCGGCCTGTCGGGCGTCCGACCCCGCCCCGGCTCCAAGATCGCCCCCAAGATTGGCCAAGAAGGGCTCCAGCCGGCTCAGAATGGCCCCAAGAAAACCCTGAGACGGCCAAGATGAATTAAGACACCGCCCCAAACACTCCAAATCGGTAATCGGCCGTTGAGGCAGACTGCAAATGGCAGCAGGACGGCCCCAAGCAGCCGCCGAAAGCCACAAAAGACGTTCATAAGGCCATCGGGCCGTCTAGGATTCTGGACGTCCCCGGCGAATTCCTCATTAGACGAGTCCTTTTTGGATGCCATTACTTCGTTGGCTTCATTGTTGCTACGTTTCTTTGGCAGACCCAAAATACTCCCATTGTAAGGGCATCAGACCCTAATCAGAGTTCGATTGAAACGGGACATATCCAAGACCCACAAGATTCCTATTACATGTGAGCAAGGTTCACAGCGGATTTCAACCGAAATGGAGAAAATTCCCAATTCGGAAGATCTTTTCACAATTGAACTCGATTCGAATGTGATGTCGATTGGCACGGAGCAGATGCCAGACCCAGGGGATGCCTACGGAATGCAGATCCAAGGGGACAGCCGCGAAGACCAACTTTCAGAACACGTCTTCGTTATCCTCCTTCGTTTCATGTTCCTCTTCTGTCTGACCTCCTCGCTCTCCCCCTCCTCCTCCTCCTCCTCCTCCTCCTCCTCCTCATGTGCCTTCCCGTCCCCAACATGACCTTTTCCTCCTTAATCTCCGTTCCCGCCGTTGTCCTACTGTGCGTCATCGTATTCCTCCTCTTCCTGCTTCTCCTGCTCGTGCTGCTAGTGCCATTGTTGCTCCTTCAGCTGATGAGGAAAGGGGATATAACAACGCAGAAGATGCGGGATCCCAATTGAATCCGGAAGACGAACGGAGCAGATCCCAGTTAGAAAAGACTCCTATTGAATTTGAATCGGGTTCTGATGCGATGCCCATGGGAAAAAGAAGTGGTCCCAGGTCCATCGGATTCCTATTGATTTTGATGGTCTTCTAATAAGTTTCAATAGAAATGGAGCAGGTCCCACTGGCCAGATTTCAACAGAATTTGACCATATCCCAGATCCATAGAGTTCCAGCTGAACTGGGATATGGTGCTGAAGAAGTGTCAACAGGAAAAACGCAGATCCCATGTCCAGAAGATTGTTGTTGAACTTGGGTTGGCTTTTGACCATCTGGCAATCGAAACGGAACATATGAGAACATCCCAGTGAGTGTGCACAGGATCCGAATCGGATGTCATTTGAAAGAGGAGCATACTCTGGATCCAGGAGATACCCAATCCATTAAATATGTTAGAATCGCATTTCAACAGAAACATAATGATTTTTTTCATCCAGAAGACCTTACTACTTTTGAATTCGGTTATGATGCGATTGCAAAAGGAACGAAGCAAATTACATATCCAGAGGATGCCTACTGAATGCAGATCCACCAAGATACCCACGAACGCCATCGTTCAGAACACGTCGTCCTCATCCTCCTTCGATTCATTGTCAGATTCTTTCTTACCTCGTCGCTTTCCTCTTCCTTCTCCTCCTCATTTGCCTTCTCGTCCCCCACATGACCTTTCCTCCTCCGTGTCCGTTCCCGCCGTTCTCCTCCGGTGATTTCTTCTCATCCTGCTCCTGCTCCTGCTGCTGCTGCCGTTGTTCCCCTTTTTCATCTGGAAAAGAAAAAGAGCATAAAAAGGAGGAGGGGGAAGAACCACAATAGACAGGTCCCTTTGAGCAGATATACATGATGAGGGGGAAAAGAGGGGGAGGACCACTCGATAATGCTGGTAGACATTGAACAAATCCCTAATCCAGAATATCTCCACTGAATCGGCGCAAGGCTCCATGATCTCGGCGGTCGACAGACACAGCGGCCCCTGGCAGGAAGACCTGCTCGCGGCTGGAGGTCCTCGAGCTGGAGAACTGCGGCCCCCGAGTCAGAACCGTTCCCGGTGCAGTCATCATGCTGCCACTCGGCGGTGGGCAGACCTCCCTTGAGTGAACCACCCTGTAATGAAAACAGCCCAAGAGCGAACCCGACGGACGTGGGCCCGGAGAAATGACGGCCGCGACGCCCTCGCGAACCGAAAACGGCCAATTCGTTAATCGACGCGTCAGGGCAGGAGGGCTGTCAACCTCCGATGATCAGAAATGGTGGGGACGGCTCCGGTGAATAGCCCAGCCCGCCGTACGGACACGTCTGGGGGTGCGACAAGGACGATTGAATGATGGACCCGACGCCCTACAACGAAAACTTGGCAACTATACACCTGGCCTCCAGAGAGAGCCTCCAGGACCATGATAAACTGAAGGGAGCAAAAAAAAACGCCCACGCGGAACGGCGAGGGGCTTGGGATGCTGCTCCTCCGCGCCGCCAACAAGCGTCAGGGCCTCCCCGCCCGACAGGTGCAGAACTGACAGCACGCGAGCAGCCGAGCAAAAATATGGAGCATTGCTGAATGCTCGCGGCTTCCCTCCGCGACGCCTGTGTCGAGGGGTTGACTGGCGCACGAGGAGCAATGCCGTGCCAAAGCTGTGCCCCGGCAGCGAGGCCGATATTCGGCCGATGCCTGGGTTTATCAAGACGACGAGAACCTGGAAGGACAGTTCCCAAAATACACGAAGGTCCTGCGAGCCCTGCGGCGAGAACTCCATGCGCTGGCCTGCCGCAGCGTCCCATCTGTAGACTGGCATGCCCGTCTTTGACGAGTCGCAGGCCCAGGCGCGTTTGACTGAGTTGATTCAGCCAGACAAGGTCTTGGTCGCAAGAAGGAAGAGGAATAACAGGAAACAAACAAAGCGCATCGCGTCGGCGCGCGGCCTCCGGGCCCAGGAGAAGAGAAGAGAGGAGGCGGAAGCGAAGGGAGGAGGAAGAGGAAAGGGGGGAGAGGGGCAGGACGCAAGCAGGCAGGCGTGCAGGCGGCAGCGGGGGAAGCGCGGCCGCGGGGCGTGAGCCACCGAACCCCGCTGGTTAGGCCAGCGCGCTGGGGAAAGGCGGGCGGGGGAAGGGGGGCAGGGGGGGGCCAGCGCCCTCAGTCGTCGCCCCAGTCGGGCCAGCACGCCCTAACGTGGGCGGCCGCCCGCCGCCAGACTGCCACTCT